GCAACATCGGTCTCATTTCCAATGTAGTGAAGACGTGGAGCAAGCTCAGGTCTGGCGTTGTTTCTTCCTGGTCGCATTCCCTGGGGGTTTTCTGGGGCGCGGCTGTCCGCGGGAGTTCGTCGTTGCGGGCGTCGCTTCTGAGGTGGCCTCTGGATGAAACGGCACTGCCACGGCTTTGGGGCGCCCAGGTTGTCGCCCGTATGCTAGATATTGAAAAGTGTCATGACTCCCTGGGCGTAGTGATGCTCATTCACATTGCGGGGCAGCTGGATTTTCCCGCAATCGCGATAGCATTATAGACGCATGCTTATGTAGCCCTTCGTCTGCTCAAGGGCGCGGGCCGAGTGAGCGAACCGATCCGGCCTACCAGGTCAATAATAACTAAATCCCACCCCGGTGTTCAAGTCGCTAAGATGTTCCTTTTTCTCATTATTCAAAGAGCCCACAATGTCAGGCCACGGGACAGCGTGCAGTTGTGGTTCTTTTCATAGGCGGCAGAGTAACTAGATGTCAGTAACACCAGACTGTTGTCAAAGCTTCTTTTGCTTTGGTGTCCGAGGTCTTGGTTCAGGGGCTCCGCTAGCACAGGCTGGTGATTTCTGACAGAACTAGTCTGTTGTGTACGTCTAGAGGCTTAGCGAAAGAGCTAGGTCGTTTTCTTCTTTGTCTGGAGGTGCCATGCCAAGTGGTCAGAGCTGCAGTTGACTCAGGGGCCGGCGCGACTCGAGGCAAGGCGGGTAGGTTAGCTAAGTCAAAAGACCGGTTAAGCAAGGCAACTATGACCTTCGGCAGAGTTCGCAAGTTGCGTAGACCAGTTAGGCCCAGCAGGATTTCTCGTAATCCGTGGGATATTGGGGCCTTCGTTCAGGCCTCCTCCGGCCGCCATTGCAATGCCCCCCCCCCCCCCCGTGATCTTCAAACTCCGTCGTCAAGCCGCGCAGGCGAGCGCGGGCGAAGGGGCGGGGAGGTGCCCCGCGTCCATCTTAGCGCTGCATATGGGTAGGAAGGCGACAACTGGCCTTTGAGCGGCTGACGGCGTGAAGAATGGACGAGCACCAGGAGTTTGACAAGTTAGGTCTGCATAGTGGTGTGATCTCAGGGGGGCAGCGGCCGCGGGTTAGGATGGCTGACAGCGGCTGCCTAGTCTATAGACAGTGTCCTATATGTGGAATGGAGGAGGATACCCTTCCCCATCGCATCTGGGCGCGCTGTAAACATTTTAGAACAGAAATCGACACGTCCAACAGTCTGATTCCTCAGGTCCATGCCCAGGCCCATTCGTGCCCAGTGTTTTGGTTGAGAGGTATGCCTCCCTGCAGTTGGACCCCCCCCAGGCCCGCCGCTATTTTGTGGATCAGGTAGTGTTCTTCGGCCCTGATTCCCTTGGAGCTCTCGAACCACATCTTGTGTTCGAGCGGATTGTCTTGTTCGGCGGTTGCTCTTGGAGGTAAGTGCAGCTTTGATGTGCGCAGGCGACTGCTCGGATTTGCTGCCGTTGCGCTCAGGAGTGATTCGCACGGGGGTTGGAGTTTAGTTCCAGGTGCTCGTTCGGTCCTTGGAGGAAGAAGGCAGACGATGCCGAGGGCCGAGCTTACTTCATGTGCCTTAGCAGTGGAGGCTGTGCAGGCTCCTATGTTGTTTGTCACTGGTCATCAGCCCTTGCTCCGTGCGTGGTTGTCGGGTAGGGTTCGGTCCAAGAATGGCTCGGATCAGGACCTTTGGAGTCGCATCAGGGTTGGCTTTGGAGATCGCTCCCCAGACGAGGTATGTATTTAGCGGATTCCGTCTCACACAGAGGCGGCTGAGAATGATATTGGCCCGTTTCTAATTCAGGGTAATGCCTTGGCTGATGAAGGGGCGGGTCGGGCTGCGGTTGAGGGGTCGTTGTCGTGTCGTGTTGACTCGGCGGAGACGGATCGGCGGGATGCGATTGGAGTGTTGATCAGAGCGAGGGCTCGCAGAGCACTCGAGCTGGCTATCGAAGCGTCCCCTGGAGCGGCGAGAGGCTGCCCAAAGACTGGAGACCCGCCCCCACCGCCCTCGCGCGCGCCGCTGCTGCTTCAGAGCATCCGTGTGTGCTTTGAGGCAGTTAATTCAGATGTCGGAGGTGAGGGGGTGAGATCGAAGTGGAACGGAGAGCCCCCCTACCAGGAAATCGATTTCGGTTTCGTGTTCGTGCGTGCCGTGCGTGCGGGCGAGGCGAAGCTGCGTGGGGCGAGAGGAAAGTCTTCTGTGGTTGAGGCGCGGCCGGACCAAATGATTCTCCTCCGGGCGGCCGGTGGCGCGCGGTGTCCCGCCGGTGTCCCGCTGGTGTCCCGTGTGGCTGAGGCGCGGCCGGACCAAATGACTCCCTTCCGGGCGGCCGGTGGCCCGCGGTGTCCCGCCGGTGTCCCGCGGTGTCCCGCGGTGTCCCGCGGTGCCCCGCGGTGTCCCGCCGGTGTCCCGCCGGTGTCCCGCGGTGTCCCGCGATGATGATGATGAGATGATGATGAGATGATGATGAGATGATGATGGTGATGATGATGATGATGAGATGATGATGATGATGATGGTGATGCTGATGATGATGATGCTGCTGATGATGATGATGACGATGATGATGATGGTGATGGTGATGATGATGAGGACGATGATGATGATATGATAATGATGGTGTCCCGATGATGATGATGATGATGATGATGAAATCGATGATGATGATGACGATGTTGATGATGATGATGCTGATGGTGTCCCCATGATGAGGATGATGATGATCATGATGATAATGTTGATGATCATGATGATGACGATAATGGTGTCCCGATGATGATGAGTATGATGATGTTGATGTTGTTGATGATGATTATGATTGTGTCCCGATGATGATGATGTTGATGAAGATGAGGTTGATGATGAATATGGCGTCCCGATGATGATGATTATTATGATGGTGATGATGATGTTGATGATGATGGCGACCCGATGGTGATGATGATGATGATGATGATGGTGATGATTGTGATGATGATGATAATAATGATGTTGATGCTGATGTTGGTAATGGTGATGATGGTGCCCCGATGATGACGATGATGATGATGAAGCTGATGATGATGTTGATGATGCTGATGATGATGATGTCGATGATGAGGATGAGATGGTGATGATGGTGTCCCGATGATGATGATGATGATGATGATGATGATGCTGATGATGATGATGATAACGATGGTGATCATGATGGTGTCCCGATGATGATGCTGCTGCTGATGATGATGATGATGACGATGATTATGTCCCGATTCTGCTGTTGATGATGATGATGTTGATGATGATGATTGTGATGAGGGTGATGATGATGATGATGATGGTGGTGTCCCGATGATGTTGATGACCGTGATGATGATGATGATGATGATGATGATGTTTGTGTTGATGATGAGGACGGTGTCCCGATTATGATGATGTTGGTGATGATGTTGATGTTGATGTTGTTGTTGAATATGATGATGATGATGATGATGATGATGACGTTGATTGTGAGAGCGGTTGTGATATCGATAGTGAGATCGATAGTGAGACCGAATGTGATATCGATTGTGAGATCGATTGTGAGATCGATAGTCAGATCGATAGATCGAGTGAGATCGATTGTGAGATCGATCGAGGGAGATCGATCGAGCGAGACCGATACTGAGATCGATAGTGAGATCGATAGTGAGACCGATCGAGTGAGACGTTGGTTCCTCCCCCCCCCCGAACCTCCTTATCACCCGAAGGGTGGTCGTACAGGTATTTCTTGCAACGTTTCAGTCCCAGCGTCCAGTTTTGTTGAGGTGGCGGCGTCCCCGTGCCACAGCCTCCTCCCTTCTGGTGAAGTGGGCCTTGGGGGCAAAAGTATGGTGGCTGCTGGCAAGTTGGTTTACCATTCCCACAGGCCACAGATCTGGGATAAGTGTTGTCTCACGTTCTGTGTGAGTTGTGGCAGATATGCCACCCTGGACGGCCGACATTTACAGGCTCCGCGCGAGCCGATCACCCGTAAAGGACGGGAGAACCTCGCACGGATTGACAAGGGCTTGTTTCCGAGACGAGAGGGTGTCCCAGCTCAGCTCAAGGCTGTGTTTGCGCAGCGTGGTTTCGGCTAGCCCTACTTTCCCCTGCACATGACCAGCGCTTAGTCAAATAGTTCAAATAGTTCCTCGTCCTTCCCCTCCTCCTCCTCCTCCTCCTCCTCCTACTCCTCCTCCTGCGCCTCCTCCTCCTCCTCCGCCTCTTCCTCCTCCTCCTCCTCCTCCAACTCCTCCTCCTCGGGGGAGCGCCTGGGAAAAGGAGGATGACGCCGCTATAGCCGATGCATCGGAAATGCGGCTCGATGTGTGGAGCCCGAATTTTCCACCTAGCATCGGCGATGCATCAGCGATGCTTCGGCGATGCGTCGCGATCCTCCGACCCCATCTGCGCTGAGACTCGAAGTTACGGAAAAGAGTAGCAAGCATAACATCGTGGTGAATCGTTTTTCGGAGTCCTAGAGCCCATCCGTCTGCGCCGTTTTTCGAGCTGGATCCATGAAAACATTGTAGAACGCCCTGATCTCAGGGCTTCTGTATCCCACATTGGCTGGCGCGTAAACGTTCCGCACAATATCCGCGCGCCAGCGCCCTCGCTCCCACCGGGGCGTGCCGCGCCGGCGGCCCGCATGAGCCGCTGCGTTAGGTCGCTCCGTCATCTCGCAGAAGACCAGTCTCTTGGGAGGCCCCTGCAGAGGGCGGACTCCGCCCCGCGCCGAGGCCTCCTCCTCCCCCTCCCCCTCCTCCTCCTCCTCCTCCTCCTCCTCCTCCTCCTCCTCCTCCTCCTCCTCCTCCTCCCTCCTCCTCCTCCTCCTCCTCCTCCTTCTCCTCCTCCTCCCCTCCTCCTCCTCTCCTCCTCCTCCCCTCCTCCCTCCTCCCCCTCCTCCTCCCCCTCCCCCACCCCCTCCCCCTCGCCCCCTCCCCCTCTTCCTGCTCTTCCGCCCCGAGGCCGGGTCTGACGAGCCGGTGCCACGACGCCCTTCCAACGACCGCCGCACCAGCGTCGACCTCACGCAGGCAGGGGCGCTGCCCAACAACATCATCATCAACATCGCCATCGTGATCGTCAACGTCGTCATCACCGTCACCGGGTCGCCGAAGTCGCTCGGGCGCTGGGTCGAGAGATCTCTGGGGTCTCCAGGATCGCCAGGTCGCAAGATCGCCGGATGGCGGGATCGCGGGGTCGCTGGGTCGCCGGGTCGCCAGGTCGAGGGTCGCTGGGTCGCCGGGTCGCGGGATCCTTTAAAGGGGTCTCTGGGATGGCTAAGTCGCCGGATCGCCGGGTCGCCGGGAAGCCGGGTCGGTCGTCGGGTCGCCGACCGGATCCCCGGTATAAGCCGGGTCGCCGGGTCGCTTGGTCGGGTCTCCGAGTCGCCGGGTCGCCGGGTCGCCGGGTCGCCGGGTCGCCGGGTCGCCCGATCGCCGGGTCGCTGGGTCGCCGGGTCGCCGGGTCGCCGGGTCGCCGGGTCGCCGGGTCGCCCGATCGCCGGGTCGCTGGGTCGCCGGGTCGCCGGGTCGCCGGGTCGCCGGGTCGCTGGGTCGCCAGGTCGCCGGGTCGCCCAGACGCCCGGTCGCCGGGTACCCCGGGTCGCCCAGTCGCCGGGTCGCCGGGTCGCCGGGTCGCTGGGTCGCCGGGTCGCCGCGGGTCGCCGGGTCGCCGGGTCGCCGGGTCGCCGGGTCGCCGGGTCGTCAGGTCGCCGGGTCGCCGGGTCGCCGGATCGCCGGGTCGCCTGGTACCCCGCCGGGTCTCCGGGTCGCCGGGTCGCCGGGTCGCCAGGTCGCCGGGTCGCCGGGTCGCCGGATCGCCGGGTCGCTGGGTCGCCGGGTCGCCGGGTCGTCGGGTCGCCGGGTCGCCGGGTCGCCGAGTCGCCGCCGGGTCGCCGGCCCTTGTGGAATTCTCTCTGAGACCGTGACGGTACGTACCACATGACGCTTGGCCACGACGCCGACGACGACAGCGACAACGACGACGACGGCGCCGCCGACACCGACTACGACGACACCGACGACGTCTCCAACGACTTCGACGACGACAACGACGACACCGACGACGACGACGACGACGTCAACGACGCCGACGCCGACGACGACGACGACGACGACGACGACGACGACGACGACGGCAACTACGACGACACCGACGACGTCTCCGACGACTTCGACGACGACAACGAAGCCGACGCCGACGAAGACGACGACGACGACGACGACGACGACGTCGCCAACGAAGACGACGACGACGGCGACAACGACGACAACGACGACAACGACGAGGGAGGAGGGAGGATGGCGACGACGCGAACGACGAAGAAGGAGGAAGGACGGCGGCGCCGACGACGACAACGACGAGGGAGGAGGGAAGACGACGACGACGACGACGAAATAGGAGGGACGACGACGAGACGCCGACGACGGACGACGACGACGAGAGAGGAAGAGGAAGGACGACCACGGCAACAACGACGATTGAAACGACCACGACGCCAAAGAGAACGATGACGACGAACACGAGGAAAGACAGTACGACGTAGGCGACGACGACGACGACGCGGGAGGAGGGAGGACGGCGACGACGACGACGACGACGACGCAAGAGCGCGCGCGCACGCTTTTGTTGAAAATCCGTGTTGCGAAACCTTGTGTTTTTGTAGGTTTTTGGACACACGATTTTGAAGTCCTTCCGAAACCGATGGGTTTTGAAGGCTTTCGGCATACGCGCGCGACGACGCGCGCGTCTGCACTTCGTTTCATTTCTTGCAGAGGATTCTCGCAACGGCACACGCGCAAAGGCGTTCGACAGATTTCGACATGCGCGCGCGCGACGCCCGTTTGGTAGCATGTTGTGAAAATATTGAAAACCTATGGTTTTCCAATGATTTCGCAAGAGCTCGCGCGGAAGCTTGTTTAGCAAATCAGTGTTACGAAGCCTTGTGTTTTTGTATGTTTTTTGGAAACTCGATTGCGAAATCCTTCCGGCACCGAAGGTTTTTTGAAGGATTGCGGCATGCGCGCGCGACGACGCGCGCGTGTGTTTCCGTGCAAATTGTTGCAAGGGATTCGTGACAAAGTGTTATGTTATAACACAAGTGACCCTAAAGGGGGGGATACCGGTTGGCCTGGGACATCGCGATTCATATTCGGGATGGACATGTGGTCATAATCGTATATGATTTGCATACCCGAAAGTGGTAGCGATAACGCCCCGGAGGGGGGGATCCTATTATGTTTTTTTTATGCTACGTATACGTAAGCACATATATATATATATATATATATATATATCAACGTGTATACATATATCGCACAATCCATGCGGTGCAGGATTTTTGGTGGAATCTAAGTTTTGCATTATGCATTCGCTGTGCAGCCTATGTGGTGCAACCCATGTGGAGCAGTCTATGCGGTGAGTTGTAGTTCTGTTCGCAGTGAGTTGTCCACTCCACTGCTCGCGCAAACATCACACCCACCCACCCGCAAGTTGGCCCCAGCATATATATATATATATATATATATATATATATATATATACATATATACAGATTAAAATACATATTCACATACGTATCTATCTATAGATGTAAAGGTTCACACACACAAATACATATACACATATGTATTCATGTTTATTGTATGGTGCATGTATACATACATATATATACATAAATGTATACACTTACATTCGCATGAACTTCTATACACTTATAGTTACGCTCCCATCCATGCTAAGTATCACTACATGAGTATAGTGTACATACACATAAACATACACCAATATCTGTCTTCATACGAACAACCATCTATGAGACATGCTTGTGTACACGTGCATATATATATATATATATATGTACAGATTTGTGTGGGTGTGAGAGTGTGTTCCCCTCTCCCTCCCTCCAGGGCATCGGCGGCCAGAGGATCTTGCGCAAGGGCGCCTGGTTCGGCGAGGCAAGCGTTATGGGCAGACGGCATGTCCGCACCGCGAGCATCATCGCACAGCAGCCTACGGAGCTGGCGGTGCTCGCTCTTGATGTTTGATATGACCCTCGCTGCTGGCTGGCAGACGGTGGAGCTCGCCGATCCAAGGGGGAAGCGTTTAGAGAAGGAGCCCATACCGATACCGCCTTTCCCTCGTCGCCACGGCTTGAATCGCGTTTGCCATTCCGGTCAGAACGCACCGCTGGAGCAGTCAGTGGATTAGCGGTGTCGTTGTTTTCTGCTTCCCCAAACACGGCGGGATCGTTCCGCTTCCGTTTCTGCAGAAACCCGTTAGTGTTGAGACGAGAGTATGAACATGTCCAGATCCAGCGCCATTGCGCAATACGGGCCCCGACAGACCCACAGGTTCCCAACCATCCTATGGTCTTTGGCCTTCGTTTTCAAGGGACAGCACTCCACGTCCTCTCCTCTCTCCTCTCTCTTCTCTTCCGCCCCTTTATCCCTCCTCTCACCCTGCCTGTGCCCTCCACATGTCAACCGTTCGGCACACTCAATACAGCGGTTCGTGCCCCCAAAGGAAGCTGCTCCAGAGGGAGTTCGCGTGTGGGCGTCACGCCCGTCTCGGCACACTCCTCGCGCGCTTCGTGGCCTTATAGGGGAGCTCCTCCGAATGGCCCAGAGCAAACGTTCGCACGTGGGCGTCACGTGACGCCCGTTTCGGTGGCCCCATAGGGAGCCCCGCCGAAGGCCCCCGAAGGATCGCTCGCATGCGGGAGTCACGCCTCTTTCGGGACACGTCTCGCGCGTTTCTTGGCCTTACATGGGGGCTCCACCGAAGGCCCCAGAGGGAGCGCGCGAATGTGGGCGTCACGCCCATTCCCGCACACCTCTCACACGCATCGCGGCTCCATAGGGAGTTCCGCCGAAGGCCCCAGAGGGAGCGCGCGAATGTGGGCGTCACGCCCATTCCCGCACACCTCTCACACGCTTCGTGGCCCCATAGGGAGTTCCGCCGAAGGCCCCAGAGGGAGCGCGCGGATGTGCGCGTCACGCCCATTCGTGGCCCCATCGGGAGTTCAGCCGAAGGCTCCAGAGGGAGCGGTCGCATGTGGGCGTCGGGCCCGCCTCGGCACACTCCTCTCACGTTTCGTGGCCGTACAGGGAGCTCCGCCGAAGGCCCCAGGGGGAGCGTTTGCATGTGGGCGCCACGCCCGCCTCGGCACACTCCTCGCACGCTTCGTGGCCCAGCAGGAAGCTCCACCGAAGGCCTCAGAGGGAGCGGTCGCATGTGGGCGTCACGCACGTATTGGCACACACCCCACTCGCTTCGTGGCCCCATGGGGAGCTCCACAGACAGGTCCCAGAGGGAGCTTCGCTTGTAGGCGTCACGCCAGTTTCGGGACACCCCTCACACGCTTTGTGGCCTCATAGGGAGCTCCACCGAAGGCCACAGAGGAGTCGCTCGCATGTGGGCGTCGCAGCCGTTTCGGCACACCCCTCACGGGTTTCGCAGCCCCATAGGGAGCTCCACCGAAAGCCCCAGAGGGAGCCTCGCTTGTGGGCGTCACGCCCGTCTTGGCACACCTCTCAAACGCTTTCTGGCCACATAAGAAGCTCCACAGAAGAGCCCAGAGGGAGCTTCAATGGCGGGCGTCACGCACGTTTCGGCACACGCGTCACGCACGTTTCGGCACACGTCCCACACGTTTCGTGGCCCCGTAGGGAGGTCCACAGAAGGCTTCAGAGGGAGCGTTCGCATGTGGGCGTCACGCCCGTTTCGGCACACCCCTCACGCGCGTCGAAACCCTATAGGGAGCCCCGCCGAAGGCCCCAGAGGGAGCGATCGAATGTGGGCGTCACGTCCGTTTCGACACTCTCCTCACACGCTTCGTGGCCCCACCAGAAGTTCCGCCAAAGGCCACAGAGGGAGCGTTTGCATGTGGGCGTCAGGCCCACGCCTCACACGCATCGTGGCCCCACAAGGATCTCTACCGAAGGCCCCAGGGGGAGCGTTCGCATGTGGGCGTCACGCCCGTTTCGGGACACTTCTCATAATTTCATTGGCCCTATAGGGAGCTCCAACGAAGGCCACAGAGGGATCGCTCGCATGTGGGTGTCACGCCCGTTGCGGCACACTTCACCCGTTTCGTGGCTCCATGGGAAACTCTAAGGAAGGCCCCAAGCGTACGCATGTGGGCGTCACATCTGTCTCGGCATGCTCCTGACTCTCTTCGTGGCCTCGTAGGGAGCTCCACCAAAGGCCCCAGAGGAAGCGTTCGCATGTGGGCGTCACGCACGGTTCTGCACACCCCCCACACGCAATGTGGCCACATAAGAAGCTCCACATAAGAGCCCAGAGGGAGCTTCGCTGGCGGACATCACGCCTGTTTCGGGACACCCCTCACCCGCTTCGTGGCCCCATTCCATAAAGAGCTCCACCGAACGCCGCAGAGCGGTCGTTTGTGGGCGGTATCCCCGTGAAAGTACACCTCTCACACGCTTCGTGGCTCCACAGGGTGCTCCACCGAAGGCACCAGGGGGAGCGTTCGCTTGCGGGCGTCACGCCCGTTTCGGCACATTCCTCACAGGTTTCGCGGCCCCATGGGGAGCTCCACCGAAGGCCCCAGAGGGAGCGTTCGTATGGTGGCGTCACGCACGTTTCGGCACACCCCTCAGACGCTTTGTGGCCACAGAAGGAACCACATATAATAGCCCAGAGGGAGCTTCAATGGCGGGCGTCACACCCGTTGCACAGCCTCACGGGCTTCGTAGCCCCATAGGGAGTTCCACCGAAAGCCCCAGAGGGAGCCTCGCTTGTGGGCGTCACGCCCGGTGTTGCACACCTCTCACACGCTTTCTGGCCACCTAAGAAGCTCCGCAGAAGAGCCCAGAGGGAGCTTCAATGGCAGGCGTCACGCACGTTTCGGCACACGCGTCACGCTTGTTTCGGCACACCTCCCACACGTTTCGTGGCCCCATCGGGAGCTCCACCGAAGGCTTCAGAGGGAGCGTTCGCATGTGGGCGTCACCCTCGTTTCGGCACACCCCTCACGCGCGTCGAAACCACATAGGGAGCCCCGCCGAAGGCCCCAGCGGGAGCGATCGCATATGGGCGTCACGTCCGTTTCGACACTCTCCTCACACGCTTCGTGGCCCCACCAGAAGTTCCGCCAAAGGCCACAGAGGGTGCGTTTGCATGTGGGCGCCAGGCCCACGCCTCACACGCATCATGGCCCCACACGGATCTCCACCGAAGGCCCCAGGGGGAGCGTTCGCATGTGGGCGTCACGCCCGTTTCGGGACACTTCTGATAATTTCCGCCCTATAGGAGGCTCCACCGAAGGCCTCAGAGGGATCGCTCGCATGTGGGTGTCACCCCCGTTGCGGCACACTTCACCCGCTTCGTGGCTCCATGGGAAACTCTACCGAAGGCCCCAAGCGTACGCATGTGGGCGTCACATCTGTCTCGGCATGCTCCTCACTCTCTTCGTGGCCTCGTAGGGAGCTCCACCAAAGGCCCCAGAGGAAGCGTTCGCATGTGGGCGTCACGCACGGTTCTGCACACCCCCCACACGCAATGTGGCCACATAAGAAGCTCCACATAAGAGCCCAGAGGGAGCTTCGCTGGCGGACATCACGCCGGTTTCGGGACACCCCTCACCCGCTTCGTGGCTCCATTCCATAAAGAGCTCCACCGAACGCCCCAGAGCGGCCGCATGTGGGCGTCAGCCCCGTGAAAGTACACCTCTCACACGCTTCGTGGCTCCATAGGGTGCTCCACCGAAGGCCCCAGGGGGAGCGTTCGCGTGCGGGCGTCACGCCCGTTTCGGCACATTCCTCACACGTTTCGCGACCCCATGGGGAGCTCCACCGAAGGCCCCAGAGGGAGCGGTCGTATGGTGGCGTCACGCACGTTTCGGCACACCCCTCAGACGCTTTGTGGCCACAGAAGGAACTCCACATAATAGCCCAGAGGGAGCTTCAATGGCCGGCGTCACACCCGTTTCGGCACAGCCTCACGGGCTTCGTAGCCCCCCATAGGGAGTTCCGCCGAAAGCCCCAGATGGAGCCTCGCTTGTGTGCGTCACGGCCGTTGTGGCACACTTTTCATACTCTTTGTGGCCACCTAAGAAGCTCCACAGAAGAGCCCAGAGGGAGCTTCAATGGCGGGCGTCACGCCCGTTTCGGCACACGCGTCACGCCTGTTTCGGCACACCTCACACACGTCTCGTGGCCCCATCGGGAGCTCCACCGAAGGCTTCAGAGGAAGCGTTCGCATGTGGGCGTCACGCCCGTTTCGGCACACCCATCACGCGCGTCGAAACCCCATAGGGAGCCCCGCCGAAGGCCCCAGAGGGAGCGATCGCATGTGGGCGTCACGTCCGTTTCGACACTCTCCTCACATCACACGCTTCGTGGCCCCACCAGAATTTCCGCCAAAGGCCACAGAGGGAGCGTTTGCATGTGGGCGCCAGGCCCACGCCTCACACGCATCGTGGCCCCACAAGGATCTCTACCGAAGGCCCCAGGGGGAGCGTTCGCATGTGGGCGTCACGCCCGTTTCGGGACACTTCTCATAATTTCCTTGGCCCTATAGGGAGCTCCAACGAAGGCCACAGAGGGATCGCTCGCATGTGGGTGTCACGCCCGTTGCGGCACACTTCACCCGCTTTGTGGCTCCATGGGAAACTCTACCGAAGGCCCCAAGCGTACGCATGTGGGCGTCACATCTGTCTCGGCATGCTCCTCACTCTCTTCGTGGCCTCGTAGGGAGCTCCACCGAAGGCCCCGGAGGAAGCGTTCGCATGTGGGCGTCACGCACGGTTCTGCACACCCCCACACGCAATGTGGCCACATAAGAAGCTCCACAGAAGAGCCCAGAGGGAGCTTCGCTGGCGGACATCACGCCTGTTTCGGGACACCCCTCACCCGCTTCTTGGCTCCATTCCATAAAGAGCTCCACCGAACGCCCCAGAGCGGCCGCATGTGGGCGTCATCCCCGTGAAAGTACACCTCTCACACGCTTCGTGGCTCCATAGGGTGCTCCACCGAAGGCCCCAGGGGGAGCGTTCGCGTGCGGGCGTCACGCCCGTTTCGGCACATTCCTCACACGTTTCGCGGCCCCATGGGGAGCTCCACCGAAGGCCCCAGAGGGAGCGGTCGTATGGTGGCGTCACGCACGTTTCGGCACACCCCTCAGACGCTTTGTGGCCACAGAAGGAACTCCACATAATAGCCCAGAGGGAGCTTCAATGGCCGGCGTCACACCCGTTTCGGCACAGCCTCACGGGCTTCGTAGCCCCCCATAGGGAGTTCCGCCGAAAGCCCCAGATGGAGCCTCGCTTGTGGGCGTCACGGCCGTTGTGGCACACTTTTCATACGCTTTGTGGCCACCTAAGAAGCTCCACAGAAGAGCCCACAGGGAGCTTCAATGGCAGGCGTCACGCCCGTTTCGGGACACCCCTCACACGTGTCGTGGCCCCATACCATATGGAGCTCCACCGGAGGCCCCAGAGGGAGAGCTTCGTGTGGGCGTCGCGCCTGGTTCGGCACATCCCTCACACGTTTCGTGGCCCCATAGGGAGCTCCACCGAAGGCTTCAGAGGGAGGAGCGTTCGCATGTGGGCGTCACGCCCCTTTCGGCACGCCCCTCATGCGCATCGTGGCCCGATAGTGAGCTCCGCCGAAGGCCCCGATGGCACTGTACACATGCGGCCCCCAATCCCCTACCCCGTTTCGTCATATCCCTCGCGCGGTTGGTGGCCCCATGGGGGAACACCGAAGACCATACTCACAGCTGCGGTGCTCACGACTGCATGTGGTTGGGTCCTTTGCCAGGATGATTTCACACCGGCCGTTTTCACCCGTTTCAGTACCTGGATTATCACAGATCGACCCAGTTCGATAAATGCAGCAAGTAGATGGGGACAGGGTCCCTTTCGCGATTTTCTTCGATGTTGCAATGTTTTCGCAATGTCGGATCTTGGGAACTGGCGAGCTCACACGACGACGTGCCTCACCAACGACTGGCACGAATCGGGGTCTCTGTCATCGTGAGCACGTGACGCTCATACCTCGCGCCAGCGACGTGCAGCTTTGCCGCCTCCGATTCGTGCATTTTGCTGCTTGTTCGCTTCCTTATTTGCAATTGCACTCGTCCCTTGAAGCCAGCTTCTCCGCATGGCACGCCGCTCTGCACCAGAGGGCGCCACAGGGCCTGGCTATTGCCTAAGGAGACTGAGTCCAGCAGCGCCGTTGCTCATGTAGGTGGTTTCTAACGTTGCCCATTTGTTTGAACGCTTCGCTCGTTCCGCTGGTACGCATCATGTCTTCTTTTGCTGTGCTGGGCGTGGCCCTAGATATTCGGAAATCGCTGGGCCTGGTAGGTTGCCTGGATTGTTGCATGAGGAGCCTAAGAGGGCTCCAAGACTGCCCACGAGAGCCCAGAAAAGGCCCCGAGAGGGGGCCCCCAGAGGCCCCGACACGAGCCAAGAGGCTCCCCAAGATGGTCCAAGCCGCCCCCAGAGAGCCTCAGTAAGGCCTACCGCTCGTCGTCGGTGCTGATGCGTATGGTGTGCCCCGATGAGGCCGCAGTGGGCGCAATAGCGGCAAGAGCGGAGTGTGGGCGGAGGTCACTGGGGGGGCGGGTGAAGAGGAGGAGGAGGAGGCGGAGCAGGAAGAGGAGGAGGAGGAGGAGACGGCGACGGCCACGCTGGGCAGCAAGTGTCCGCGACGAGTCGGCGGTGGTCACGTTGCGGGGAGTAGCGCAGGCCGCGGGGCAAGACAGTGGCGGCGGGCAAGACAGAGGTGCGCCCTCGGGCGAAGCCGAAGTGCGCACGGCCATACGAAGTTACCACAATCTTGATTGCAGCAGGACGCCTGCAAGCCTTGGAACACTCAACTTCGTGCCAGAGGCATGGGTGCGGATGAGGGGATGATGTGCTCCCGTCGACTGTTGTGATCTCTCTGGCAGAAGGAGACGCTCCTGTGTGCTCCAGTGTCGTCCTGCTCCCTCCCGCATCCCAGGTTCGGCGATCGCCGTTCGATCCATACCTCTGCTGCCGCCCCCCACTCTTGGGCGACAGGTGCAGCGGGGAATGGATCACAACGCGTGGCCTCGGAGGCCAGGAATGCATTCATGTCCCCACTCGGGCCGCTTGTGGGGGCAGGGGCGTGAGCAGGGGGATGGAGAACATGGCGACGAGGGAGCGGGGGCGTGATCAGGGGCACGGATAAAATGCCGTGCGCCTACAGGTGCTGAACAAGGAGGAGTACAACCGGGTCATGAACAAGTACCCCTCGATGGCGAAGAGGCACGACCGCCTCGTGCAGGAGATGGGCAATTCCACCGTCTGGTGCCGAGCCCCGCTCCTGTCTTCGGTTCTCAGTTCTCTGCTTAGCTGTCGCCAAGACGAGTACCGCGTGGTAGCAACATGTTCCCCACCAGATGTAATCAAGCAGCCAGCATGTGTTCTGTGGATCCCCAGGTGCCAACACACTTTAGGCGTTTTCCTATCTCAGAAGCCGAACGATTTCCCTCTTCCCTCCTCTTCGCGGTGCGGGCGGAAACCCAATCTACTTCAACGTTCTCCTGCTCGATGCCTCTGCCCACCTCGTCCGACCAATGAGCGCACTGACGCACATGTATTAGGACAGCTCTGCTCCCGCGGGCGATTCCAGATGCCCCGTGCTTGTGTTCTGCCCAGGTTGCCAGGGTCGACGGTCATGGGTTTGACGGTTGATGTTGGAAAGATAGTGTCCGGTGTGGCGCCGCCAGCCCGCTTGCTACATGCCATCCCCCAGTTGAGAACCAAGTGCACCGAAGCCGCCCTGGCAGTGGGGATAGCGTGTTCGGAAGGGGGCCCTCGCGGGGGGATTGCCTCACAGGCATAGCGTGCTTTTGGGATGTCGGTGTGGCGCGCTATCTGTTCAACGCCAGCCGTATCCCTGCGCGTTTGGGGGGCGCGCTCGTGCGCGCGCGGGCCCTCTGCTCGGAGGCGGGTGCCTCGCTCGCCAGGGATACAGCACAGGTAGCGGCCTCGGCAGACCCCCGCGACGAAGGACGGAGGGGGCTTTGAGGAAAACGTGCGACCCATGGATCTTTTTTCTTGGGTTGATGGCACATCTGGCTGGCGCCCAGCGCCGAGCGCCATGACTTTGAAGCCCGCAGTCTGGCGGCATCGTTGCTCTTTTTTCGAAGGCGAGCCGCAAGCGCACGCAGGGATGAGACGTCAGTGCCGGGCCGCAATCGCGGTCCGCGCGCGCGCTGCTAGCTGACAGAGATCCAGTCGCGTGCGCACCACTGAGAAGCAAAATGGCAGAGGGGCATGGCTGATGACACACAGTCGAGGCTGATCACTAGGTCGACTATGTCAAATCAATGTACCCTTTTGTCCTGTGTGTGCGTTCGCGACCTATGCCTTGTACGTTCTTACCGTGACTTTGCCCTCGCACGGGTCTGGTATCCTCTCGCGTGTCGTCTCCAGCCATCTTCGATTGTGCAAGGCAGCCACCTGTTTGATCTCCACCTCCTTCCGCCACAAGAGGCATCTCTCTCCCCTCGCTATCCCTCCCTCTCCCCTCCCTTACTGCCTAGAAGGAGGAGGGAGGAGGAGGAGGAGCGAGTAGTTGGAGGCGGCGGCGGACGAGATGGAGAAGGGAGGAGGGCGGAGGGAGGGAGAACACGGTTCGGTTGGGTCCCCGTCGGAGGCGCGAGTCACAGCTCGCAATTGCCGGGTGTATGTCATTCCCAGGCAAAGGAGGATGAGGGGAAGGGGGAGGGAGAGGAGGAGGAGGAGGAGGAGGAGGAGGAGGAGGAGGACGAGGAGGAGGAGGAGGAGGAGGAGGAGGGAGGACGAGATGAGAGGAGGAGGGAGGAGGTCGACGCTGACGACCCCGCACGCCGACGCCAACACCGACGACGTCGACGCCGACGCCAACGCCGACGGCGCCGCCGAGGACGACGATGCCGCCGCCGTCGCCTTCGACGCTGACGGGGACGCCGACACCGACGTCGACGACCACGACGACGCCGACGCCGACGCCGACGCCGACGCCGACGCCGACGACGCCGCCGAGGACGACAATGCCAACGACGGCGAGCCCGACGACGACGACGACGACGACGACGACGACGACGACGATGCTGACGACGCCGCCGACGCCCACGCCCACGCCGACGACGCCGAGGACGCCGACGACTCCGACGACGACGGCGACGCCGACGCCGAGGACCGCTACGACGATGCCGACGCCGACGCCGACGCCGACGCCGACGACGAGCGGGCCGCCCGCAGCCTCGCGGACATCTCGTGGAGCGAGACGCCCTCGGCCTTCCAGCACTCCGCCACCTGGGCGCGGCGCAGGAGCATGGAGGCCGCTGGCCTGCCGGCCGCCGGCCTCATGCGCGGTGGTCTGGTCGGGCCGGTTTGGACCGATCGGTCCCCAGCGATGCCCAGGAGGGCAAAAAGCACACAGACACAATGAATCGTCGATTCCCCGAAAATATGGGAAGTGGGGGGGGAGACAGAAACCCAGAACATATGGAAGAATATAGGGACCTCTGTTATTTGTGTCTATCTATTCGTGAGTCCCAGGGCCCCTCCAGATCCGAGGTCTGAGCAAAATTAGAGCGGCCGGTCTTGTCGCCCATGCGGCTCGATGTGGAGCCCGTTTCTCTCCACGCCGTCGGCGCCGATGCATCGTCGGCGTCGCGATCTTCCGGCCCCATCTGTCCGGAGCCCATCTGGGAGGCCTCGATTTCCGCCCGCCGGCCCAGGGTTGGGAGTTGCTGAGCCCGACGGGGCCCGGGCTGACCCGGGTCAGCGCTGCGGGGGGGCGTTCCCAAGGGTTTCGGGCGGCGGTAGGACCAGACCAAGCCAGAGTTGGGGAGGTATAGACTCACTCACGCTCAGACTCACTCACACTCAGAGTCATTCACCCTTATGGTGAGGATGTCTCAGGGGTGGTTGCACGGCCCCGTTCGCGGCCAGATTGTGGAGATGTCTCAAGCGGTCTGCCTTTTTGGTGGCTTGGATTTTTTGTTTTCAGAGTAGATTGTGAGGATGCCTCAGGCGATTCGCTGGTTTCAGCACCCCCAGGAAGAGCCGCCAGGGGTGAGGACACTCCAAGACTCGCGCCAGATTGAGGGTATGTCTCGAGTGGTTTACTGGTTTGAGACCCCCCAGGCACTGCTGCTTTCACAGCAGGTTGTTAGGACGTCTCATGCGAGGCGCCGGTTTCGGCAGCAGCCCAGGCGTGACATGCCAGAGGTTGGGGCACTCCAGGATTCGCTCCCAGATTGTAGGCATGTCTCAGGCGGTTTCCTCGTTTTGGCCCCCCAGACTCCGCAGATTGCGAGGATGTCTGTGGCGAGGAGCCGGCTTGAGCATCCCCATCGGGGAGCGCCAGCGAGCCCCAGGAGCTTCTGGGAAGCTCCATGACGTCCTGGGAAGCGCCAGGGAGCCCCAAGAGGCTTTAGGAAGCCCCGTGGAGACCCCACCAAGGGGAAGCCGCCAGGGGCTATCTCACTCGCCCGCTCGCGCCCAGATTGTGGGGATGTACGAGGCGGTTTGCTTGTTCGACGCCTTGGACTTGTTTGTCTTCAGCGCAGATTGTGAGGATGTCTCCGGCGAGGCGTTGGTTACGTTGGAATACGAAGGAATATGAAGGAGGAGGAGGAGGAGGAGCAGGAGGAGGAGGAGGAGGAGAAGGAGAAGGAGCATGAGGAGGAGGAGGAGGAGGAGGAGGAGGAGGAGGAGGATCATCAGGATGAGGAGGAGAGAGGAGGAGGAAGAGGATGGAAGAGGAATAACCAGGACGAGGGACGGGGAGGAGGGAGGAGGAAGAGGAGGACCAGTGCAAACCCAAGAATAATCAACGATGTTGCAATAGACCCTCCCTCCAAGCTGCCTCTCAAATGTGCCTCTACAGGGATTCAGTTCCGAGGGAACTGCTCATTGGAAGACAACTGTCTGATAATCCTGAACTGTGCCAAAGCAACACTCTTGAGCTCCTGGGACATCAAAGTCACACATCGATCGTACTGTTGCGTCTTGACGATGCTGAATCGTGCCCGAACTTCATTTCTGAGACTTTAACACCGCGACTCGACGTAACTGTTCCGCCCTGACGGTCTTACATCGACCATTTCTGGGACATTAGCCATGATAATCTTTGAAGGTGGTACACAGTCTCAAGACGAATATACACGGCGGTAAATTGAGAACCACATTTTGAACAGGTACCGCCCTCCATTCGTGAAACTCTTTGAAACGTTGATGACGAACGCGCGCGGCGCTTAGGCGAGAGAGCCATTCTGGAAAGGAACAGCCTTCCATCCGTGACCGCCCTACCGACATTTCTCGGGGTGCGACAGGGCGGAGTTATTTACCAGATGTTGGGGGCCGAGGTCGAAGCGGAATTGAGAGCCCCCCACTGGGAAGTCGGTTTCAGTTTCTGGTTCGTTTCGTTTGTGCAGCCGTGGCGAAGCTGCGTGTGTGGGCGAGAGGGATGAGTCCGCTGTGGCAGGGACGGGTCAAGACAAAAGACAGCACCTCTGGTGGGCTGGCGTGGCCGGGGGTGCCCCGCCGTGGTGTCCCGCCGTGGTGTCCCGTCGGTGTCCCATCGGTGTCCGCGGGCGGTGGCCGGGGTTGTCCTTCCGTGTTGTCCCGTCGGTGTCCAGTCGGTGTCCTCAGTTTGTTATTTCCTCCCCCTTAGCCTCCTTATCACCCGAAGGGTGGTCATATAGGTACGGAAAACGGACGGACGTCGTCCTCAAGACGAGGAGGATGAGGGAGGAGATCGGAGGAGGACTGGGGAGGAGGAGGAGGAGGAGGAGGAGGAGGATGAAGAGGAAGAGGAAGAACGAGGGACGGTGAGGAATGAGAAGGAGGAGGCTTGGCAAAGGGGGCGCGTCCACCATTCCTGGCTTCAGAGCTGGCACTGCGAAGATTTGGCGAAGGCGGATAATTACAGCCAAGCCAAAATTTCACAGCCACACATTGACAGCGAGACGTGCCAGGAACCAGGGATCCTCGCGCCGAGTAAGTTCCGCTGGTGATCTGTTCGACGATAACGGCCCTTCGGGGCCGACTTCGGACCCCAGGACAACCAAAACAGCATCCGGGAGCGCAAACTACCCCCAGGGCCCCAGGGTGGCTGTCGGGGCTTCGGGGCCGCCTGGGGTTAGTCGGGGCCCCTCGTGGGCCCTGGGCGCTTCGAGGGCAACGTCAGGCAGGGAACGCTGGGGATCCTGGGGGGTCGTTCTTCTGCGTCCTCTTTGGGCCTGCTTGGGGCTTCTCGTCACCACGGCTGCATGGGCCTCGAAGAACGGGTCAGCATGGACCCCAGGAGGTGACCAGGACGGATTCTCATAGGATTTCGCGGAAATTATGTGGACGAAGGCCAACAGGGGGCCCTGGTTCGGAAGGGAAACGCAGTATCAATGGCACGTCACCGTTGGAAGCCTGTCAGCGTGTCACTCCTTCGCGTTTGGTTCGAAGGCCCAGGGCTCCTTCGACGTAAACTCGCTGATGGTTCCCTACTGCGGCGTGTCGCTGATGCTGTTTTTGCCCACCCCCCACTCTGCCACGCGGGCCTGGCCTTCGTGGGCCTCCGGTGTTGGCCTGGGGCAGCGTGTAGGGGAGAACGCCCATTCGAAGTTCGGAGTTCGAAGTTTTCTGATGTCTTCGTCGGGTTTTCCGGACGTTGTCCCGTTTCGGGATGTTCCTGCAGCTGCGCCTCGCCGAGGACGTTCCAGAGGTGCTCCGATTGTCCCAGATGGCCGGCCGCAGGTCGCTTGAGTTATAGCCTGAGTTCTGGCCTGGAAGCCCGATAACTGTTCCTTTCAGGAGCAACGTCAGGGGGGGCGTATCGCCCCCCAATCGCCCATTCACCGCCAAGCAGGGTCCCCACTGCCGACCTCCCGCCCAGGAACGCGCGGGGAGCGTGCCTTTGCGGCCGTGGCTCTGCTCTGCTTCGTGACTGGTTGAGCGGCGTTAGTGGGGATCAGTGCGCATCCACGTGCAGTTGGGGTGCTCGCGTTCCGCGTCCAAGACAGAGGCAGGAATGAACAGTCACTGGGACATCGGCTTGCACCGGGTCCTCAACGCGCAGGTTTGAGACTTCTGTTCCAATCCCAAATAAGCCTATACATGTATGTATGTATGTATGTATGTATGTAGGTATGTATGTATGTATGTATGAATGCATGTATGTATATAGAAGCTGTGCACTTATTTGTGTACTTATATAGATTGGTACATATGTGTATAGATGTATACATGTATAGTGCATATGTATATACATATACATATGTATGTATATGTGTGTGTGTGTGCGCGTGTGTTTGCTCCAACACCTCGGTAAACATATATACATATATATATATATATATCATACATTTTGTTTGCATATACAAGTAAGTCCGCGTGGAAACAACAAATCTTGCTTCCAGAGGTAGATGTTGTGAAATCTACGTGCAGCGGTCTATGCGGCGCAATCTATGTGGTGCAATTCCTTGTTATTCACCGTGCTCGCTAATGTAGGGGCAATTTCGGCACACGCGCGCGACCCCTTGCGCGTGCGGACGTCGTGCAATGTCTGTTGCAAGGGATGTTTGAAATCTTGCGATGTTTGATAAACGGGTGCGCGCGATACGTAGTACTTGGCAGGAAATACAAACAGGGGGTCCACAGGGGGGGTGTTGGAATGGTATGAGTTCGTATTCAAAAGAAGCGATGGGGCAGAGTAGCCAGCACACACAGCACATATACAATCCTCGGGAGATACGGTAACGCCGAGGGGGTTGGTCAATCCGAATTCGTTCTCAGAGAAGGGAAATCGGTGCGGTGGAATTCATGTGGTGCAATATGTAAGATACGTCTACGTGTTGCAATCCCCGTCGTCCAATCTACGTTGTGTGACTTATGTTGTGCATCAAAAGCGGTGCCGCTTATATTGTTCGATCTATGCTGTGTGATCGACGAATATCTGCGCTGCAATCGATGTTTTGCAACGCATGTTGTGCCGCTGTTGCGCATTATCAACGGTGCGATGAGTATTGTGCGACCTATGTGTTGCGATGTACGGTGTGATCTACGTGGTGCAATGTACGCGATGCGATCTATTTTGTAGGATATACGTTCTGCGATCTACGTTGTGCAGTACATTTTGTGAAGTCGATGTGGTGCAATCCATGTGGCGCAATCCACGTGCCGTGGCCATTTTGCTCAAACCAATCTGGCTCAAGCGACTGCACGGCCTAGCCTGCCTGCGCCCTTTTTTCTTCGGCGAGGGGTACATGCGGGATGGCGGGGCCTAGACGGGTTTCTTCGGCCCTCGGCGCCTCCCTCGTCGATGCCGCCGCGCGCGCCGCTGTGCTGGCTGGGGCGCCTCGGCGTGCGGTCGGTGCCGTCCCTCGCGTGGCCACATCCGCCACGCCTTCCGCCCGCGGGGGACGGCCGCAACCGACGGCAGCGACCGCGCCTGCTGCCACTCCGCCCGCCGCCCGCCGCGGCGACGACGGCGCGGCGGAGGCGCCGCCGCCGCCGCTCAGCGGCACGGCGTGCTGCAGAGGTGCCCCCCCGCTTCTGGTGCTGCGGGCGCCGGCGCCGGAGAGGGCCTCGATGCCATGCAGGACCACGGGCTGCCCGATGTGGCTCGTGGGCTTTCACGGCGGGCGGCCTGCCGCTCTGTCGGCCGCGGTCGCTCTTCCATGGTCGTGCGGATGTTGAGGCGGCTCTCTTGCGGAGTCGGCGGCGGCTGCTGCTGGGGCGGCGGCTGCGGCTGATGGACTGGAGGTCGCGGAGCGAGAGGGGCTGCGCGGAGCGAGGGGGCGTCTGCTAGACCGTTATAGACGATGAGCCGGTGACAGCGGCGGGTGAGATGCTGCGCTCGTCGTGGCTGGCCGCCGCCGCCCCGCCCGAGGGGGGAAACCGTGGAGTCGTGAGTCGCCCCCCTCCTCGTGTTGGTGGTCCTGATGAGGGTTTCCTTGAAGATCTCGGGGAGGGCCTGCACCATCCAGAGCGATGGTTGCTTGGCCGTCTTACAGAACCGTCGGCCTGGGCGTTTCGAGCCTGCGCTTGTGGGACGTCCAGAACAAAGTGGTGCAATCCACGTGGTAACTCATGAGGCGCAGTGCGAGGCCGCGGCGCGGCGGCGACCTGGCGGCGACGGTGGATACACAGCCACCAACCTGACAGACAGGCCCAGACGACGGGCGGCGTCGGGGCGGTGACGGCGGTTATAGATCCGCCATACCGACAAACAGGCCCAGACGACGGGCGAGGACGAGGCGGCGACGGCGGCTACACAGCCGCCATAGCGACCGATATGCCCAGTCCCTTCGGGAATGTTAGCCAGCGTGGACCCCAAACAGTGCTGACATCAAAGAATGCTGTGAGATCTGCGTGGGCTAATATGCGTGGTGCAAGCTAGGCAACGCAAGATACGCGGTGCTAGCTACATGGTGGAGTAGACACATGCCACGCCTTTTTGCAAACATCCTACTCACCCACCCGCAGCTTGGTTTGCAAAACCCATGCTGCGGCGATGGCGATGAGTGCTCGGCGTTGGCTGGTGCATCTATGCGGCCGCGCTAGCCTGCGCACCTTGGCGCGAACAGCGGTCAGCTAGTTTGGCGCGACCGACGTGGCCGCGGTGGCGCTGACCGGTGGGCATTTCCCAGCGGGCACTTTAGTGCGAGTCTGTGATTTCGGCGGGCGCGGTATCATGGCGACGCCGACAACGGTAGACACGATTAGGAGAGTAGAAATAATGGTGACGATGGTGGCGACAACGACGGCAAGGCCAATGACGGCGCCGATTTTGATCACGGCCTCCGATAACGAAGAGGACGGCCTTGCGTCGGCGATGACGTTTGAAGGAGCTCGACGTGCGCATGCGGCCAACGCGCGCGAGTGGCCAGCGTGGTATTATTTGACATGCATCGCGCCCCCCCCCACCCCGCACGCGCGCGAGGGCTTTCTATTGAGCTCGGCATACGGCGCCACAGGCCTGCTAGGCAGAATGTGATCAAATGTTGGATCACCTTAAGTTTCCCTTAGAACCCGCAACACCGCGAACGGTTTTTAACATAAACAATGATGTTGCGAAGCCGCTTGGTTAGACATGTTTTCGGGACGCTCGTTTCTTGAAACCCCGACGGCACCAAAGGTTTTCGACGGATCCCGGCAGGCGCGTGCGACGACGCGCGCGCGCGTGTGCACCTCGACCTATGTGATGCATGGGGTTCTTGCGACGGCACGAATGCAAAAGGCGTTTGAAAGATTTTGGCACGCGCGCGCGAGAGAGGACCATTCCGTAACATGTTATTGTAAATTGTGATGTACCGATGGTTGTTTTTTTTTTTTTTGTTAAGTTTGCAAGAGCGCGGGCGAGGGTTTTGTTCGAAATCCTTTGTTGCGAATGCATGCGTCCTGCTATGCTTTCGTGATTCTCCTTGTTGAACTCCTTGCGAAGCCAACGGCTTTGAAACAAAATTCAACACGGGCGCGCGACGACGTGCGCGTGTGCATTTCGTCCCGTTTTCTTTTGCAAGGAGTTTTTGGAGTATTAATGGCTTTTGAGAAACGAGTGCGCGCATAGTGTTGCTTGCAGAGGATGATAACGGGAACCGGCGCTGGCCTGTTTAGGATGGTGCGAGCTCATATTGCGAAGGCCTTACGGCCGGTGTCGCCGACCCCGAGGTTGGGGAGGAGGGCGCGGAACATGGTGAGGAATATGAGGAGGTGGACAGGAGGAAAAGGTGGATGACGAGGAGTAGGAGCACAGGGGGGGAATGAATAGGAGGAGAGTGGGGCGAGCAGGGTCGAATGTACACGTGGGGGGGGCGCGAAAGAATGGCAAGGGCGAGTAGAGCGTGGCGATCATGAGGACGATAAGGAGGGAGATGATGGCGAGGTTGTTGACGATGTGGACGACGACGCCGGTTGCCTATCAGGACCTTTCGGGGCGTCTTGGAGTCTTCCTGCGGCGATTTCCAGGCTTCGCTCGCGGTTTTGAAGGGCCCGGCATTCTGGGCATGTGGGAGGCCACGGGGTGTAGATGTGGAGGGCGCGGGGACCGGGACCTGGGCCGTGGCCAGGGCCGGAGCGGGCCGGGAACCAGGGCCAGGGCCGGCGTTGGAGATGGCCCAGATGGACACAACAGGCAAACAAATAGCAGTTGCCTACGACTTAGGAGATCTACTGAAACGCATAAGCCACCGAACAAATAATTCAGCCACAACTCGAAGTTAGTATGTACCAGCCAGGATCCGTTTTTGTAGTTCGGGCCATGTTACCTTAATGCAGACTCTGGATGTCCGAGGGCGCCCGTCAGACGACGCATGGGGGGGCTTACAGATGTTTGAATCCTCGGGTGTGCACCTGGGACGGGACGATTTGCACAAATTCGAGTTCAGGATCAGCACTGCCGTCCTTCTCTTTGCTCGGTTTTGTCGTTTTGGTCGCCCGCACGCCGGCTCAAACCACCGTGGCCCCTGCGGGGCTGCGGCCCCGAGCGGGCGTTTTTCGGCAACGATGTCGGTCGATCAGCTTTCGATGTTCGGCGAGACCGTGGACATGGTGGCCCGCTGCCCGACCATAGCCGATATCTAGATTTGGTCGTCAAGCCGTGTTGATACATGCTGAAATATCGTCAGCGAGAGTACGGCTGGGGAGATTCATGAGGAGAGTGAGGAAGAGAAGAGGAAAAATGAGTTGGAGGGAGAGGAGGAGAGGGAGGAGAAGGGGGGAGGGGGACAATCCACCGTGCCATGATATCACTCCCGCTTCCCCGGCAGAGCCACCCCCCGGCGACCCTGGAACGCCCGAGTCATTTGGGGGATGCGCAAATCATGCAAAACACTCAATAGATAGAGGATCCCTCCCCCGCTCCCCCGGCAGAGCCACCCCAGCGACCTTGGGACTCCCCGAGTCATGCGCAAATCATTCACGAAACGCTAGATGGAGGACCTCCCCCCCGCTTCCCCGGCAGAGCCATCGACCCTTGGACCTCCCGAAACATTGGGGGATGCGCGAATCATGCAGGAAACGCCAAATGGAGGACCCCCCCGCCCCCTTCCCCCGCTTCCCCGGCAGAGCCACCCCCCGGCGACCGTGGGACCCCCCGAAACATTCCCCTTTTCCAACCTCCCCCCCTTCGACCGTGGGACCCCCCGAAACATTTGGGGGATGCACAAATCATGCAGAAATCGCAAGATGGAAGCCCCCCCTTCCCCCTCCTTGGATTCCCCGGCAGAGCCACCCCAGCGACCCTGGGACCCCCCGAAACATCCAGGGGATGCGCAAGTCATGAAGAACACGCTAAATGGAGCCCCGCCCCTTCCCCCCTTCCCCGGCAGAGCCACCCCGCCGACCCCCCCCCAGCAAAGCTGAAGCTGAAGCTCTTGCCGAAGCTCCTTATAGTTCACACGCGGGATCAACGGATTTGCGGCGCACCCTCTGTGATGCAATCGGTGCGGTCCGCAGGAGGCGGCGGCGAGCAACGCAACGCATGTCGAAGAAACGCGACGCAATTCAATCCAATGCGAAACGACGCAAAGGAATGCACAACGGCGCAACGGAAAACAACGCGAAGCAATCTACGAAGTGCAGTCCGACGGCGGCGAAGAAGTGGCGACGGGGCGGCGACGGCGGAGACATAGCCGCCAGCCTGGCAGGCAGTCCCAAACGAAGGGCCGCGACGGGGCGGCGACGGCGGGTACATAACAGCCGGACCGCCAGAGACGCCCAGTTCTTCATCAAGGAGCCAAAGCCCTTAAGTTAGACAAATGTTTGGGAAAAACGTACGACCTCTAAGTGCAAGCATATGCTGGGGAAGGTCAGCCACCGCGGGCCCCAAACAATGTGTCTTCAGCCGTATATGTTGCGGCGCAACTTACGTGGATCAACTTGTAGGGCGCATTGCGAGGTGTACTCCAGATGTTGCAGTCTATGTTGAGCAACTTACGCAGTGCAACCTACACTGTAATATTTAAGGTGCAGTATATGTTGTGCGATCTGCGTTGTGCAGTTTACGTTGCGCAATCATCGTGGTGTAACTTATGTTGTGGAACCCGTGGTATGCCATACACGTATGGCGATCTGTGTGATTCGTGATCTGTGCGGTGCGCAATCCATGTGGTGCAATCGGCGTGGTGCAATCCAGGTGGCGCGAGCTATGTTCTGCACGCTACGTCGTGCATTGTATATGGTGCGATTCGTGTGGTGCGGCTTATATGATGCAATCCATGTGGTGCGGCGACGGGGCGGCGACGGCGAGCACGGAACCGTCGGACGGGCACGCAGGCCTAGACGACAGGCGGCGACGATGCGGCGACGGGGCGGCGACGGCGAGCACGCAGCCGCCAAACCTGCACGCAGGCCCAAACGACGGGTTGCGACGAGGCGGCGACGGGGCGGCGACGGCGAGCACACAACCGTCAGACCGGCACGCGCACGCAGTCGTAATGTTTAAAGAAAACATAGGTATAAGGCATTAATCTTTATACGCGCGGGAAGTTTCGGCTTCCTCACGATGGAAAATGCAATGAATGAAAAAGGTAGGTGATGTCTAACATGAGCATATGTATCGGGTGTTGCTTGTTTGTTGCATGTTGTCGATGCTTGTATAATGTCTGTATGCGGCTTCGTACTTATTCTGCACTTTTCTAACGGGAATCCGCCCTCAGCGACCCACCCCTTGGGTCCCCGCCACCCGCGGCGGGAAG